TACAAATGAATTGCTACCGCACATTATTTTGAAATTCCTATGGAATGAGCCATTTCATAGGATTTTAGAGGAAACAACACATGAGGTGTTTTCATCTATTTGTGTCTACAATTCCTGTGCTTTTTGTACGTGACATCCAAATGACAGTTTTGCAGATTTCCTATGGTTCTAGTCGATATGTGAAATCTTAATTTATGTTTTTTTCTTCTTTTTTAGCACAATACACTAGGTTTTGTGCTTTAAAAAAAGGAAAACCATGGAAGTCTCTTTGAATTCTTGTGTTCCAAACGAGGCCTTATACTTTGTCTGTCGGAAAATATTTGTTGGAGAAATGGATGTATTTAGACATATTTTAGTTATAGATACATCCATTTTTGTTTATTTCTCTCACAAGTATTTTCGGACGGAGGGAATATGAGTTTGAGCTTCACCGGCCCAGGCGAGGCCCCATATTCGGGGCCCGCATTGTATAACTGGACTGCGCTCGCCCACACCACACGCACGCGGCCTGCTCACACCGCACCACACACCACCCCCTTGGTGGGAGCAACTAATTAACGAGCGCTCCTTCGGGAGCCTCGCAACGATCAGCGCCACTTGGCGCGCTCTCAGCCAATCGCCACGTGTCGCGCTTTGGGCGCTCCCTCGGATTTTTTTTATTTTTTCGCACGCGTTTTCGGCTTTTTCAACGGTTTTTTTAGGTTTTTTTACGTTTTGGTTTTCCACCGGTCTTCCCTAGCTTTTCGATAAAAAAATTGCGCAAAAAAACACATTTTTTCGCAAGAGTAACGGTTTTATTTTTGCGAGAGGCACGTTCGTGCTTTCGCGAGAGGCACGGTTATGCCTCTTGGAAATGAAAAAAACACTTTTTTGTTTTTTTTCTTTCGCAAGAGGCACGGTTTTGCTTCCGCGAGAGGCACGATTGTGCTTTCGCGAGAGTCACGGCCGTGCCTCTTGAAAACGAAAAAAATACACGTTTCTGTTTTCTTTTCTTTCGCGAGAGGCACGGTTTTGCTTCCGCGAGAGCCACGGTTGTGCTTTCGCGAGAGTCACGGCCGTGCTCCTCCTCGGAAACGAAAAAAAAACGCGTTTTCTGTTTTTTTTTTGCGAGAGGCACGGTTTTGTTTCCGCGAGAGGCACGGTTGTGATTTCGTCAGAGGCACGGGCGTGCCTCTTTCGGAAAGGGAAAAAACTCGTGCTCCTGGTTCGGTATTTTCGTCCGTTTTTTTTCGTGAAAAGAAAGTTCGTCAAAACCTGTCAACATGGGATCTCGTTTTGAAGATCTCGACGCGAGAAATCCAACGGCGAAAGCGGTTCGAGATTTTGACGCACAGTTTAAGAGATAAAACGTTTTGAATAAACGGATCTACGAGAAAAGGAAAAACTCCCAGGTTGCGACAAGTGGCGCACATGCAGCGCGCCACTTGTCGCAGCGTAGAAAAGTTAGAGTGATCTCCGCAAAGAGTACTCCTTAACTAGTGATTTCGCCCCTTGATGAAGCCACCACTGGCCTCAGGCGTCACATTCTGTGGCCGTCGACGCGGCGGCCACCTCACGCCGTCGGATCAGCTGGGCGCCGTCCGCCGAGCTGCCGAGGTCAGGTCGCGGGTGCCACCAGGCGGCGCAACGTGACACGACCGGAGGGTCCCTGAGGCTGCACAGGTGCCGCACCCACCGGGCTGACGCAGCGGAGGAGCGGCGGCCCCGTCCCCGTCCGCTCAGTCCTGCACCTAGGGCTAGCGGGAGCTCCCGTAAGAGCATCTCCAATAGCTTGTCTATATGGATGTCTATACTCGTTTTCCACGACGTGAGCCCAAAACAGGCGTCCAACAGCTTGTCTATATGGTCGTCCAAATATACACATCCTCTAAATCGATCTCGACAATGTCCACGCCTGGACAATGTGAAGGCGTTGTCTAAACTCAGCTGTAGTCATGATTTCTTCCTCTCGCTAGCAACGGCCCACCTGTCATGGTCCCTATATATAGACGTCCGGATGCAAAACTGGATGTGTATATAAGGGAATATTTTTAGACCATCGTCTATATGAATATATAGACATCCAAATATACACATGCTATTGGAGATGCTCTAAGCCCTGATTCCGTCGGCGGCGCACCTTGGTCATACTGTCCTACTGAATATGGTTTCTGAGTTCACCCCGTATACATCGCGTTTTAGGCCAAATTGTTTGATCATCTCTTGGGTTAATTCCCGTACTTCAAAGCGAAAAAATGAGCACGCGATGTGCATTTCGTCCTAGATATAAGAAGTTACTTAAACTGGATACATCAGTCTACATTTTTTTTTTTGCCGAATCAGACACCCGAGTCGCTGTCCTCTATTTGGCCGTACGAAATTTGCGAAACCGACACCGAATCGGAGCCGAATTCCAACACTCCTGTCCATCTCCGAGAGTAGCGCCTACTGCTACGGCCACTAATTTACAAATGGCTGGCTGTCCACTTGACCGGCCATCTTGGCTCCTTCTATGAATATATGATGCATGTGCGTATTCTAGAAAAAGAAACAAGTAGACAGGGTGGTGCCACAGCTACATTGCAAAGTGTTCTACATCAATCTAACTCATTGCCCCCCTGAGAATATTGTTTTCTGCCAAGCGCTTAAAATGTTTTATTCAGCTATAGATCTTTACAATGGGAAAAATGCACAGCCATTCATGTGAGGCGTGGATAATAAAAAATCTGAGAGTAGGACCTGTATGTAAATCTGAAAGAAGCGTGTCTGAAGTGAAACATTTGAAAATGGAGTGGAGCTAAACATGAAAATATCTGGGCTACTCAAACTTTCCAAACTTTGGGTAGGGTTATGTTTCAAAATATTTACATCAAACATCAGCTTTTTCTTGATCTGGAGGGAGTATCTTATCGCTCTAATCTTGCCATTTAAACATGTTACGCTCCATCTATTAGCATGCTAATATGAACAATATAGCTGTGATTTGACACAAGCAGGTAGACATTACTATGGAAGAACTGTTTTGGCTGATCCACCGTGAGGTTGCATGTATGTTAGCATAATCTAGCTGTTTTCTAAGCGTGCTAGTGTGCAAGCCTAGTTTTCGTGCCATGGCAGGCTTTTTCGGCCCGTTTTCGTTGCCATGGCAGCAGTTCTCCCATTAATGTTTTCTTTCCAGCAAATTTGTTGGAGGAGGCACAGGACCGAGGAGCTGGATTATTATTTTGGTCATGGAGATGGAACCAATGTGAGGAGAATTCTTTGAGATCACATGGTCCGAGAGGTCACTCTGGCTGATTCTTTGCTTGGGCATTCGTACTTCACTCTGCGTTGAACAGAGCTTACCCTGCATTTGGAGATATTTCAACGATGTCACTTTCATTTCTCCCTCAACATTGCATATGTTCATTTGTTATGAAGATCACTTTCTCCATCTGGTCTATTCTTCAGGTCTTCCAAGGGCTGCCAATCTCTAATCCATGGCGAGAATGCTGCCACGAACCTACACTCCCGCACAGTCAGTGGTCAGACTCAGACCGCATGGATTTCCTGCTCCTTGGTATGTGGCTTTTTATGAACAAAGCCCCTTCGGTTGCCTTGGGTCACATGATTTCCAGCAGTTGTCCGGTCATTATCGTTCTGGGCCATTATGTGTTCAATGAGGAAAGGGACTGTTGTTGTCTGCGCCTTGGAATCTTGCTATTCCTCAGCTGTACTCTACACTCATTTCTTTTTGGTTTTTGTGGGGGGTATTCTACACTCGTTAATGCATGAAAGGTTGGTGTTCTTTCACCATCCACTCGAGCTCTCCAAAGAAACCCCACTACAATTATGGCTTGGCGCATTCAGCAAATTAGTTATGCCATCTTGTTTTTTGATGGCACCCATGTTGTCATACTTGCAAACAAAATCCAGATAAGCCGCTACGTTGATTCAATGTACGTCTGTTAGGTTTTCATAAAGTATGCCCGTTTAATATATTTTTTATTTGTTTTCAGTAAATACTAAGCTCCTTGCTGTAGAAAAATGTAAAATTCCTTTTTGAAAAAAGAAAAATGTAAAACTGGCCTGTCGGTCTTGTAGAGCTTTTGAGCGATGACTTCGAGTTGCTCTCTTGATGATATGAACATTGGGAATCAATAAAAGCTTATCTTTGGAGTTATTTGCGAGGTGTGAGTCCATGTGATCAACAAGTTAGCTCTCGGTAGTACAATACAAATATGTGTAGCAGGTTAGATAGGAGAGAGTATTTTTGCTAGCCACCATTGCTCCGTGATCTGTCCCACTAGTAGCCACAACTGCGATACACAGTGTTCTATATAAATCTAACTCATTGTTCCCCAGAGAATACCAAGTGCTTAAAATGTTTTATTCAAGTATAGATCTTTACAGAAGAATGTTCAACCATTCATTAGGTATGTACAGAAAATATCTTCTGTTGTCTACATAATAAATTAAAGTGTCGGACTGTGTTTAATTATGAAGAGAAGTGCGGCTCAAGTGAAACGTCTGAAATGGAGTTGAGCTAAACTTGAAACTGTCTTTTGTGAACATTTGATTTGAACGAGTTGTACCTGAGTAAATAGGCTTCCATGAATTATTTATAGTGTATTTGTACTGTCTGCAATTGTTGCATAGCGAAGGTCTTCTCTCAAATGGCTTGACACAATCCCAATACCATCCTTGAATAATTGATTACTCAAGGCCATATCATGTACCTTAAACTTGTTGTACTTGTGTATATATAACCGGTATGACTACAATCCACCCATAACCAAAGAAAAACAAGCTCAACAAAAATGCCACCCATCCAAGACAAGCATAGCTCTCAGGAGCTGCTCCAGGCTCAAGTTAGCCTTTGGCACCATGCACTGGGATTCGTCAAGTCCATGGCACTCAAATGTGCAATGGAACTGCAAATCCCTAACACCATCCAACACCATGGTGGGCTTATGACCCCATAAGAGTTGGCCACAAAGATCGGCCTCCATCCGTCTAAGCTTCCCCGCTTACGGCGACTCATGCGTGTGCTCACCATATCAGGCATCTTTGCTGTTGATGAGGCAGCCTCGCCAGGCAAGGAGATTGTTTACGGGCTTACCTCAACCACACGCCTACTCGTCGGTGATGCACTCATGGTTCCTAGATGAGCATTCATGGTTCCTAGATGAGCATTCCACGTCCCTGTTCTGTCTTTGATTAAATCAAACTTATTTCCTATTCTGTCTTTGATGCTTGATTCAACTGTCATTGCCCCCTTTTTGGGCATGCACTCATGGTTCCTAGATGAGCATTCCAGGTCCCTGTTCAAAAAGGCTCACAGCCTTAACTTTTGGGAGATGCCTGAGCAGGATGATGCTTACAACCAGATACTCAATAATGCAATGGTTTCGGATAGTAACTTTCTCACGGACATCATCTTAAGGGAGTGTGGTGATGTATTTCTTGGCATAAACTCTCTTATTGATGTTGGTGGAGGCCAAGGTGGAGCTGCCAGGGCAATTGCGATTGCGTTCCCGCAAATGAAATGCACCGTGTTGGATCTCCCTCATGTGATTGCAGAAGCTCCTAGTGATGTCCATGTGTCGTTTATTTCTGGCGATATGTTTAAGTACATTCCGCCAGCAAATGCTCTTTTCCTAAAGGTAAACTCTCTAGAAATTTCTTCTCCCCTTGCAATACAACACATCATCATTTGACAATATACTGCCATAACTCCTAAAGTGTGTATTTAGCCGCTTGTGTGAATTAAAATAAGTTAACTAAATTTCTTTCAATATATTATAGGGACTAATGGTAACCTTTTTTTGGCTGCTGCTGTGCAACTTAGTGGGTTTTTCATGATTGGGGTGATGAAGACTGTGTCAAATTATTGAAAAATTGCAAGGAAGCAATCCCTCCCAGAGATGCTGGTGGAAAGGTGATAATTGTAGATATGGTGGTTGGATCTGGGCTAAATGAGATTGTAACAAGAGAGACACATGTTTTGTATGATCTATTTATCATGTGCGTTGAGGGGATTGAGCGAGAGGAATTTGAATGGAAAAGGATATTCATGGAAGCTGGGTTCGGTGACTACAAGATTATATCAGTGCTGGGAGTTAGATCTGTTATTGAGCTCTACCCTTGAACACTCCATTAAAAATTACATGGTAATCGGTTTTGTATGTTCATAAACGGGCATGAACAGCATGTGTGCTCTCTTGTTGCCTGCATTGGCCTATTATGGCGAAAAGTCTACTACCTTATTATATTTTTGTGATATGTAACCGCTGTGATCAATGAATTTGTTCAAGTAGTGTTTATGTATAGACTACCATCTGCAGCTGGTCTATATTTTGTTTTGTGAGAATTGAGATAACATATACTGATATTAAGATGCTATATGGCCATGTTTCAGTGCTTACTCTGTTGTTTTTTCAGCGCCAATACCTTTGTGAATCGAGTGTTTAAATTACTTTGTGCTCGTGAGGTCGTTACACACTGCTTGCAGGTGTCAGAGCGTGGTGCTCTATATGATCATCACCATGCTGTGCTCGATCGCTCGATGTGATACTGTAATGCAATTTCTATTGCAGGCTAAAAAAAATTCTACAGCTCCTTGCTTGCATATAATCATTTCAGGTGTATTTTAGCAGTGTCGTATTTTCCTCTGTCTATTTCGCGTCATTTACTTGCAACTTTACAGCTTTTTTATCCAAAAGTTATGCTTGGATCCAGTTTAGTAAGACTGCATCCGCATGCTGCTGTGTTCAAATTGCTCTTGGTGATTCAGTGTGATACAATTCTGAATTTCAGTTCACATGTGACGAATGGACCCATTTTTCAGGTCCTCTCTGCCTTAGGTAAGCCCCTCTTTTGGAAGTTTACACCTAAGACTGTTCATGCAGCAATTGAGAAGCGATCATGGCATCCACATTGTGACATCACTTGAGCACTGGCTGTTTTTTATTCTGTCTATATACTCCCTCCGTCCCAAAATTAGTGACTCAACTTTGTACTAAGTTTACTACAAAGTTAGTACAAACTTGAGTCACTTATTTTGGGATGGAGGGAGTATTTGGCAGTGGCACCTGTCAACCAGACCAATGGAGATAAAGAGAAGTATATATTTGGCCCCAACACTTGCCCCTGGAGATAATTCTGATCTTGAGCTGGATATCATAAGAACCACAGCACTGCAAGTCCTTTGGTAGCTTTGATAGCTTTCAGGTGTTTCACTTCATAAATCTTTTGATGTTACTTAACAAAAAAAATCAGGTAATAGTTTCTTTTCACCGGTTTTATGGATTTTTTTGCTTGTAATCTTTTTGTTAAAAATAAAATAAATGATATACGAAAATTTACTATTCTTGTTTTGTGACATAAAAATATTTTATATGACTGACATGATATCTTTGGTCAAATGCATAAAATATACTATTTAATGAACTATGGAATGCATTTAGAAAGCATTTGTCCAAAGAAGTTTCAAAAGTCACCTAAAGTTCTATTAACATTCATGACCAGTTTTATATTGACGGTGGAATGTTTTCAGAATAAACGTTTTTTTATATGGAACATTTTATCCATCATTTCTTAAAGTTGCAAGGACACTTTTTTGGCATACATAAGTATTTTTATCACGCACATGCATATTTAAATAGACTGTTGAGCATACATTAATAAAATCATGTTCATGCACTTTATCTCTGTAAATTCTATTATGCAGAGTCAACTTTTTCATTATGCCTGATATAGACATTAAAGTTTCAACTTTTAATAAACATTGCGATAAATTCTATAAAGCAGAAGTGTAGGCCATTCCATGCTTCCACTGTCGCCGCCATCCGCTATTGTGCCGCCGAAGTTCCACTCACAAATGCTATGCCTAGCTTATTGCGAGGCAGAAGCAATGTTCATCTCACTTTTGTGTGTTCTCAAAAGAAAAAAAAATCTCATTTTTGTGTCTTCTTCTTTACCGTTCTTTATCAGTTTTCTTTTGGTTTTTATTTTTTCTCTGCATGCTCGGCTGCTGATTTGAGAGGGGGGAATGGGTAGCGGAGGTTCTTGCGCACCTGCACGTACCCGCGGCTTGGCTAACGGTGGTCGGACGAGGTCGGTGTGGTCATTTCTAGTGGCTGCAGCGGGCGGAGCTCGTCGGAGTTGGCGATTCCGGCGAGACAGGGCCGGTCCAGCAACTCCAACAGCACCAGCGCACACCAGAGGTTCACCAGCGACATGCCGGAGAAGTCAGTTGAGCTCGAGCGGCTCTGGAGAGGGAGGGGCAGAGGAAGGGGATTGCCGGCGAGCTCGGCGTCAGGGATGGCGGCCAGAGGCCTGCCTGGCCGGGCTGCGGCTACCTACGGTATCGTGGTGGTTGTGTGAGAGAAGTGGTGAGGAGAAATGAGCTCGGGAGGGGTCTATTTATAGGCGAGGCTGAGGCCGGGATCGAGGGCTCACCGGAATTCTCTGGAAGGGTGCCCGACGACGAATGGCGTCAGTGAGAAGGGTAGAAGACGTCGTGGCTCACGAGGGAACTATGGACGAGCGGAGCTGAGCATAGGAGCCAGGTACGCGACGAGCACAGGGGCACAGGCGCACTGTTGGCTTGGCCGCACCGTGCCCATGGTGGAGCGGTTTGGCAAGGTGCGGTGGCCGGGGAAGCGAGCACATGCTCAACAGAGGCGCGGGTGCATCGCAGAGCGTGTTGGTTGCATGCCAACACCCCTGGATGAATCTGGTCACCGCGTGAACTCTGACCTCAGGCTGAGCTAAGCGCAAACTTCATGTCTGGTGTGTAGTCCTTAGTGGTTTTGGTCGTTCTATGTGTTTGGATGGGTCAAAGGTGAGCTGTGCGAGTGGGCTTCTTCCTGGCAAGTTTCTGGACAGAAACTTGTGACGTTAACTGCGAGAGATCTAGTAAAAATTAAGGGCTCGGCTTTGGGGTTTAGCATTCTCTTAGGAAGGTAATGAAGCTCAGAAAAGATCAACCCCAAAGGATCAAGGAAAATTATACTTGCTGTGTAAGTGGCTAATCTGTCTAGAACAGAAATTATTTTCTGTAGCAAAAATATTCCAAAATTTTATGCAATATTTTTGCTCAGGGAGGTGCCCTAGGGTTCAAAGAATATTTGTGAATTTTATAAAAAATTTAGGAGCAAAGAAAATGAGGGTTGCTTTGGAGCATACTTCTCTGAAGTGATTTTTAGGGAAGAAAATGAATATTTTTCTTTTATGAAAAATATTCCTTGGGTTATTTTTGGAGTTTTTCAGAGAAAGAAAGTTGAGCTAGGGGTGGATGGTGTCGGTGTTCTGGGAACGAGAGTCCCCAGACTTGCCTGCCTGCGGCCTGCGGCGTGACTCAAGGGGCGGCCCAGCATGGCCCATCTTCATCAGCACGAGCTCAAGACCCTCGCGAGGGGCCAAGCCTCATGGGGCGGACGAGAGGAAGCCTCCTCAGGCACGGCCTCGTCAGGCTGGTTCGCGAGGAGACGGAGAGATCAGGATGGGGTACCTCACGAGGTGCCCATGACGCAAGCCATGACGACTAAGGGCGCCAGGCGGGCGCCAGGCCGCGCAGTGTCCTCCCTTTCCTCTTTGGTGCAAAGGGAGCAAGCGCAGGCGAGAGCATCAAGCAAAGGCATCCATTTTGGTGCAACAAGACCAAGACCAGCAGAACGGCAGGATGGAGGTCATCGTGGAGCCCAAGCCGGCGTCACCACCAGAGCCTTTGGCACGCGAAGACCAACTTTAGTCAGGATAAGTGTACTAGATGTTCCCCTTCAAAATGGCCAATTGTTGGCGCCCTTCCCGCTCAATATTTGGGAGGAGGCCCAGGGCCTTTGCCTATAAATAGGACTAGCCACCACAAGATAGAGGCATGGGATCCTCATCAGGAAACCAGTAGAAAGAGCGACTGAACTCCCCTTAGCGGTTCATCGCACCAGCCTAGAACAGACCCTCGCGAGGCTATTCTCCCTTGTATTGTTCATCATCAGCCCAAGAGGCAATCCACCACACCACACACTGGAGTAGGGTATTACACCACAATGGTGGCCTTAACCAGTATAAACTCTATGTCTCTTGTGTTGTTTCTTTGATTGCTTAGATCCTAGCGAGGCGGCGAGGCACATGCAGTAGAAGGCTAGATCTCTGCGTGCACCCCAGAGTTCGAACCTAGATGGTCTGCCGGAACCCGAAATCCGACAGATGGGTCACTTGGGTGAAAATCAAGGGTAGGCCCAAGTGTTTAAGTCCATTTGAATTGATTCAAAACTCCAAATCCAAAGCAAAGGCAACAGGAAGTCCGAAAAAAGAGAGAAAGCAAATCCAGGCTGTCACTCACCTCCCCCACCTAGGATGAATCTCGTCCTTGAGATTCAGTTGCTTGGGAAAACAATTCTGGATAGACTGTCCTTAAAAATTCCTCTCTTTCCCAGGTCGCTTCTTCCTCGGTGTGATGCTCCCACTGAACCTTATAAGACTTGATCGCCTTATTGCGTGTGACCCTTTTTGCCTCATCCAAAATTCTGAACGGTCTCTCCTCATGGGTTAGATCCTTGGCAAGCTCAATTTCTGACATATCAGTCTTTTCTCGGGTGGTGAAATACACCTTCTTAGCTATGAGACGTGGAACACGTTGTGTACTTCTGACAATTCCGGTGGCAATTCCAACTAATAAGCAACTGTGCCAACTCTGGTCATGACTGGGAACGGACCAATATATCTTGGTGCCAATTTTCCTTAGGTGTGAAATCGCTTGATTCCCTTCATGGGTGTGACTTAGAGATACACATGTTCTCCAGGCTCAAAACTGACATGCCGGTGTTTGGCATCATAATAACTCTTCTGTCGTGACTTAGCCAAATGCAGCCTATCTCGGATTACCTTGACTTGTTTCTCTGCCTCCAATATTAAATCAGTTCCGGAGATAGGGTTGTCTCTGGTTTGAGACCACTTTAATGGAGTGCAGCACTTACGGCCATACAAAGCTTCATACGATGACATCTTTAGACTGGTTTCGAAACTGTTGTTGTATGAGAATTCTGCATATGGCAGACAATCTTCCCACTTGGGTCCATGGGCTAAAGCACATGCTCGAAGCATGCCTTCAAGGATTTGATTTACCCGGTCAGTCTGACTGGTGAT